ACTTTGTAGAAAACGAAGCGTTTGAGAGAGGCGGGGCATAGAGGACCTACAATAATGTACAGTATTTGAAAAATAATGTGTTTTTTGAACATTAAAGCATGTCAACATATTCTGTTACACCAAATACACAAAATAATGATCTTTAAAAAAGCATCATATGACCCCTTTAAAGAAAAAAAAAAAAGTGAAATTTTGAATTATTTAAGAATGAATTATCTAAGAATTATTTCAGTTTTGTGTAATGTTAAATTTCAGCAGTCTCAAGAATGGTCTATTACTAAATCATATTTTTATATAATCCATCCTGTGTTTTTGCATATAATACAGCCATGGAAAAAATGTTGACCACTGATTCTGTCGATATAATTTCACAAGCAAATCCTCATCTCAGTCATTTACAAATAGTGTATGCTATTCCAAGGGACAAACATTGCCGTTGTAGTCTTTTTGTGATAGATGAAATCACTTTTTTCCCATTGACTGTACGGCTTCACTGAGAAATACATCAGATTATATAAGTGTGTTGCGGATATCATTTCATATTCTCAAGCCCAGGTGTGTAGGTTTAATTAAGCAGTAATTTGACAGCTCTTCCTTGGGTTTCGTTCTCTAGCAACAGCGTACGGTGTACAGACTGACCCTGGTGAAGGCCTGGAATGTGGATGAGCTGAAGGCCTACTCAGATCTCATCGCCCTTGGACAGCCAGATTTCATCGAGGTCAAGGTATGCCTCTCACCCGCCTAATTTAGGAATGAGCTTCTAATGAGGGGCTCTGAACCCTTTTGGGTTTAATAGGTGAAGCTTTACTAAGCTATTGCTGGAATCCCAAGAATTTCCTCCTAATACTTTTAGCAGGAAAACAAGGTAATTACCAGGCTCATTAAATTCATTCTCTGTCCTAATGCATTCACTGAGAGCCAATGAATCAAGATTGGATTGATTTTGAGCTCAGATGAGATGAACTTGTAGTGTTTGCAGCAGGAGCTACTAAATGAAATGTTGCAACTGAAGCCCTGTGCTACAACATTTTTAGTTTGAATGCTAAATTATTGAAGGATGTTAAACTTTCAAAATATCTTTTTGGAATTGCTGTATCAAGTATCGTTCACAATTTTTGTGCATTCTGTTACATAATCTGTATTTTCACTGAATTAAGATTTAGATAGTTTTTTTTTTTAGACACTGATATAGATTCGCATTAAAACATAGTTCATATCACTTCAGTTTATGCCAGTAAAATGAATAGTTCACCTTAAAAATGAAAATTGTCATTTACTCACCTTTTTGTTGTTTCTAAACCGTATGATTTGTTTTCTGTAGAACACAAAAGGAGAAATTTTGAAAAATGTGATGGTCACTCTTTTCCATATAATTACAAAAGTGATCCATATGACTGGTGCATTATATCCCAAGTGTTCTACCATATGACAGCTTTGTGTAATAAAACCACCCCCCCTCAAATTTCAGTCATATTCACTCATAATTTCCTCTACTGAGAAGTTAACTGCTGCAGCCACTTCATCTATGAGTTGAACTTAGTCTGATTCATCTGATCAAAATGATTCGTAAACAAAGCATTTAGACTTTGAAGATGAGATTCATTGAAAGGTTTGACTCAAAGATTTATTTTTTTATCTATTTATTTATTTTTACAAATCAGCCATATTTTCTGTAATTATGACTTACGTTTCAGGCTGCTCCTCAAACAAAGAAGAACAGACCTTGAATATACTCTAAAAAATTATTTTGTAAACAGTTGTGGAATAAGACTTAAATTAATAGAGTATGTTTTACAGGAAAATACTTTTTTAGCTTTTCTAAAAAAAGAATGAGCAGCACATTCTTCAGAATCTCTGTGTTCAATACAAGAAATATGTCAAAGTACAACATTTTCAACAGAAGTTTGCGAATTTTAGGTGAATTTAGGTAAAATTAACTTTCTTCTTTAATTTTAATAAATGAAGAGTCAGAAGTCATTACGTTTCATCCCATTTTTCTAATGATCTGTGAAGATCAAGACTGAGTCAGTCCTCTGTGAAATGCCAAGACTGTAGCTTTTAAATAGTCAACTAGTGACTTTAATGGCTTTTTAATGAAATGCTAGTTTTTAATCCGCAAATAAGAACCTCATTCTACTTAATCAACCTGTCTTCAAGATTAATTGACTAAACTGATTAAATCTCTCCTCAACTCAGCCAGCTTTTATTTGCCTTAATGCATCTGGTGTTTGTTGACCTGTGTAATTACACTGTCCTGGTTTAATTGTACTGATCTGAACTGATTTGCTCGTGACCTGATGAACCACAGCCCACCCCTCTCGGATGAGGGACACATATTGTTTTGTAGAGTCTCTAAGCAGTTCTTGCTGTTCCTCCAGGTAGAAAAACAATCTGTTAAATTACAATTTTATTAATTATTGTTTCTCCTCTATTCCTCATTCAGCTGCAATTTGCATGAATTCTTCCAGGTATTTCTTCCCTCCTGCACTCTTATCTTCACGTTAGCAGCTACTTTTCTAATGGAGGGAAGGGGGGCTACTACATTGAGATTCACAGAATTGCTCATAATCTCATTACGAGTCAACAGCCAGTCATGTGACCTGTGCGCACCTGCCCCGTAGGGAACCCGCCTCAGCGCATTCACATTTAAAGCAGAGTCACTCCAAAGTAAAGGCGACTTCAACTATGACATGCTGTTACCTAGCAACAATAATCGCCCACTTTGATAGACTGCAGAAGGCGAGGATTTACGCCGCCTTCTGTGGGATAAAATAAAGGCTATGAAAAAGTGTGAGGAAAATATTGCTGAGTTTACCCAAACAGAGGCAAGCTGTCTGAATCTCTGAGCCTGCGTTCACCTTTTGATGGTTTGTCAGCTCTGGGTTAACGGTCCTAATGTTAAATGAGATTTCTGCTTCCTGTTGTTTTTTGACATTTGAGCTTCATAGCTGTGGTGTGGTTTGATGCACACTTGAACTGGTTGTTCACATACTAGGTCTGAGAGTATTTGCTTATTGTCGACAGCCCAATGCAAACAACATTTTGCTGATTCAGCAGCAAAATGGCTCAACAATAAGGATGGTCCACTGGTCTGTAGCTATTGAAAGCGTTTTAGCCCAGTTAAGGGAACTGTCACTTGTCCTATAAGATCAGCACTGTATCTTACATGTACATGTATTTTTATGCCTTGCAAACTTAAACATTTGGCTGCAAAAATGTATTTTTTATTATTATGTAAAATTATCTGGCTGGCTGACAGCTAGAATTATGAAGAATGGATTCTAAGTTACAGATGAATTTGTGATATGTATGGCATGATTTTTCAGCAAAATAGTTTGACATTTAAAGTTACAAGTTTTTAAATGTTGTTTTAAATAACTTTCTATTCATTGGAGAATCTCAAAAATATTCCACAAAAATATTACGCAACACACCTGTTTTTAACACTGATAATATTAAGAAATAAAATTAATTGTAATAATATTTCATAATACTACTGGTTTTACTGTACACTGTAAAAAAAAAAATGTCCTCCTTTTTCAACTTAAAAGTCTAAGTTCAGTTGCTGCCTTACCTTTTTTTAGCATAAACAACTTGGCTTTGTCATTTCAGCCTAAATTACTTTAAACCGATCAAGTTGGATTTCATATAACTTATTAAAAAAGTTGAGTATACTTCTGATCAAATAAATGCAGTCTTGGTGAGTTGCGGAGACTTAAATGTCCAAAACATTTTGAATGTTAATGTACGCGTAAAACATATTATTTTACAAGTTGTTAATAGAAGTTGTTAATATATGTATTAAATAATGCATGTAAAAATTAGACCTAATCAGAAGACTTTTCTGCTAGTCAAGCATTTTGCTACATGGGAAGCATGAAGCTAAAAGCATGTTGTTGAAGCAGATAAATCTGGTTAAAGTTAAAAAGCGATGATTTTGTTTGTAATGTGACTGCATTGCATTTTTATTGACTTTTTATCAGTTCATGTATTTCTTGGGAATCAAACCCATGTGCCCTTTGGCATTGCCAATAAAGGAACTTAACACATTAGCAGTCATCCAACACGCATACGGACAAGCCTTGTTACTAGCCGCACTTTTAAAAGTTATCTTTTTTATTTATTGCACTTATTTTGCCCTTTAATTAGACAAATGATACCTTATTCATGCCACGAGCCAGACAACAAGTTTCTCCTAGCGAATAGACAGGTTTATATACAGCCAGACATCAAATTTCTTGACATCTCATTTACTTCTATAGGACACCAGTGACCCAGGCATCAAACCACCGGCAGTGGCAGCATTGTTTGGACACTTTTGTGGACGTGAAACAGAGTGGTGATATATGCGGAGGGTAATTAAGTTTGGTGGTAGCCGAGCAAGTCTGATATGTTTCTGTGAGTAATGGAGGCGTTCAGCCCCCTCCAGCTGTTCAACCCCACAGTAATTACAGCGCTCTCACCCCTCACATTTCCCAGCACCTTTGTGTGTGCGTCTTTTTTATTTTATTCTTGCAGGATCTGCCAGACCTGCTGCACACTCCTTTTGAGATATTTACTCTAACTGTCAGACAACAGATGTTTTTCATTGTTGTCTAATTTCATGCGTTTTGAAATCAGTCCGAAAACCAGTCAGTATCTGGTGTGACCACCATTTGCCTCACGAATTTCACATGAATTTAAGGGAGAAATGTGTGTGTGTATATATATATATATATATTTATAGTGCATGCAATAAAATGTAATGACACAATTTGTATTTGTAGTTTTAGGACTCCATGAAAGGTAGAGACATGCTTGTGTAATGTGAAGTCAGTCCCGTTCCTCTCCAGTGCTGAGGAGCACTCATCCTCTTTGGGTGGTTATCGATCAAATCATTATTCCTGCACAATTAGAGTGTCTCAGAGGTGTTAGTCCTGACACAAAGATGGACAGCCTGTGCTGGGCTCCCAAATTATCTCCACCTTAGTTATTCAAGAGGTTAGACATTTGAGGACACAACTGAGATCAAACTGCCTAACTTTTGGACAACGCTATTAGAGCTTCATTCATGCACCACTAATTTCTTTTGCTTTAATCCCACATGCTATTAAATCATTTTTCATAGCGCTTTTATCAATGCACCTTTATCTTTGTATACATTTTTGGTTGGCTTATTAGAGTCAGATTGTTGGTCTATGACAGGAAATCTGTAGCATTGTTAGTTGGCGTAGATGGGCCGGAGAAACACCCTCACTTTCCTTGCTCCATTGATTTATCAGGGCATTTCTGTAGGTAATCATTATTCTCTATGGCTTCAGAGCAGCTAGATAAGAGTTGGGCTTATTAATTCTGTGCCAGACTGGGAATATCAGCTTTGGACATCCGCCATGGCCCACAAGACTGAGATGAGGAAGGCAAGAATCCCGTCCTTTTGTTTCCACTGTCCTCTATGTCCTCAGAGAGGAATGCGATACGTTGGGGACACTAATGCAATATAGTACTTATCTGCTCATCCCTGTATACCTTATACCTGAAGAGACTATAGTGCATTAAAACACATGAAGAATGACCAATTTAATTTCTTTTAATTTGCATTATACTATTATACTAACTTGTGTATATTATACTAACTTGGCACCATATGGTGGATCTTTAAAGAAGATTTGAGACCATCTTGATTGCAAATTAACTAATATATGTAATAATTACTACAGTAGGCTAATATATAATAATTATAATATATGTAATAATTACTACAAAATAATGCTACAAAAACAATATATACTAATTGTAATACTAATAAGAAAAAAATAATACAATGAAAAGATATTAATAATTACTACAATTTATAATATACATATAATAATAATAATTATGATATATAATATGTAATAATTACTGCAAAATAATACTTCAAAAACAATATAATAATAATATTAATTATAGTAATAGTAATACTAATAAGAAAAAAAATAATATTAAGAAAAAAATACTAAAAATATATTATAGTTATTATTACTCTTGTTATTATTATTTATAAATATCATGATCATTATTTTTTTTTCTTAGAAATGCACATTTGAGGGTAGCTTGAGTCGACCGTAGTAGTAGTTTCAGTTAGGATGCAGATGTACATTTGTTTTTGTTTTTTTTAAATTGTAACAACCTCATTTTTATATGGTGAAATGTAATTATTCTGGCTGAGTTTTATTAAAGGGGTAATATGATGTTGCTAAAAAGAACATTATTTTGTGTATTTGGTGTAATGAAGTGTGTTTATGCGGTTTAAGGTTCAAAAAACACATTATTTTCCACATACTGTACATTATTGTTTCTCTTCTATGCCCCTGCCTGTCTGAAACGCGTCGATTTTTACAAAGCTCATCGGTCTGAAAAGCGAGGTGTGCTCTGATTGGCCAGCTATCCAGTGCGTTGTGATTGGCCGAATACCTCAAGCATGTGACGGAAATGTTACGCCCCTTACCATATTGTGATGCCTTGTCCAGGCCGGAGTGACGAGACAAAAACATTAAAACCCATTATAAACGAGGCATTTGTTGCATCCAGTGGGGACATAATTACGGATTATACTGACTTATACTGTCTTTTTACGCGTTGCATTGCATCGCGCCGCGTAAACATAAAACCATGTCTGCATTTGTGATCGGAGAAATGATAAACTACAAACGCTACTTTACACTGCCCAAAACTCGCGTTTGAATCGTCAGTGGCAAATGTTTTAAATATAAAAACGTACTTACAATTTGTGAGTCAGAACAGCCGGCATTGTAGTGTACTCTACCAGGATCAGGAAACAGTCCTCCATAAAATGCACTGCACACATCTGAATATTTGGGTTGAAGTGTTCTGGAACAGTGTTGTAAATACAACTTAACCACAGATTTCTAGTTGTGTCCTCTTTTGGAAG